GATATAAGAATATGTGATGCAAAAAAATCGGTAAGAATATGTAATGCAAACAAATTAAATGAGTTTGTTTACTAATATCCAGAAGATCAATTTCTTCCATGTAACAGAAAACATGATAAAATACAAATGCACAACCATGAAATAGATCCCTCCGAAAACGTTTCTATCCTCTGATTGTGGCATCTCTTTCCTCCTATAAAGCTCCCTCTTACAGGACATCTGGCTGAGTTTAGAAACATGTTTGATGCAAGGTCTACATTTTCCACACCGTGACCTCTCCGTATACTATGAAGTCAACCAAATACTCCAACAGCACGCATGAAAAGTTTAAACACTGTACAGGCCATGTTGTTTGTACTAGGACTAAGGAACATGATGCTCCAAGAATATCCATCGACACAAACATGTATGACAAAGCCATATTGTACAAGTGTGTGATTTCCATATAGATGCCAAAGGGAAAGAGGACCAGGTACAGAATAATGTCGGTGATTAACAAGATTCAGTTGCACGGTCATCAATAAGATACCGTCAAGATAAATGCACCACAAAGATGAACTCATTCTCTGCCATCGCACACGTATGTCACGTGAACCTAAGAACTCTTTCATTTGACATATGCCACAATTTGGAAAATCTTTATATACATTTGATACTACAATGTCATGATTATAACTAGAAATGTCAGTGTATAGAGGAATTTCCTCTAAGAAAACAAAACGCTGAAGTCTTCTGCCAATTGTTTTCCTGTTCATACATAAGACTTCAGATATTTTAGTTTGGGAAAACCCATAACTAAAGTACATCTCTAATTTTCCCTTGGTATATTCAGAGAAGGAGGAGAAACAGTTACAGTATTCATAACAACAGGAGCTTGAGTTCATTCAAATTCCAAAACAGATTCTATGTTTGCCAGTATATTGTACGCTTGTATTAATCTAACCCATTCTAATAAACTGTTAATAATAAATCGTTGTGAATTAATTTCTGGAAAAATTGAGGCGCTGATACGCGCACAGACTAAACACGCACGCGAATTTAAAGAAGCTTGGTACAGTAAAGACAACGACACAATAAACAGACATATCGATATACCCATCATATACTCACAACTAAAGAAAGAGGACAAAAAGCTGCAAACAACACCAAAACTAAAACACCACACTCTAATATTATTAACACCAATCATATTCACAATACAACAAAACCCATGGCCACGCATTTCACCCCATCCAATCACATAAATCCAATCGCTAATCCAATTAGACGCTTTAAGCGTCTACATGCCAAAAGCAACTGTAAATAGATAATTTCATCATTCTGACGAAGGCTCGAAGCAACGAGTCGAAAACTCAATGAAATTATTAATAAAATCCGGAGAAACTTTTATTTTTAAGCAGTATATATATGTATAAGTTAGATAATAATTTACATTGTACACTTACCAACATCAAATCAAATTACATAATGTATTATGTAACTATTTAAATTCCACACAACATCGTATAGGCATTTCGAGCCACTGAATGGAGTCCAATGTAGGCATTGATATTTTAAAATACGTATATTTTATGCGTTGATAAAAAATTGTAAAATAGTATATGGAGTATTTATTTAACGACTACGACAGACCTGTTTATGCAGGAGGAGCATAATTGTGCATATGTTGTCTATGATCTAGAGCCGACCATTACATTCGGGCTTCATTGCGACATGCTAAAATTTAGAAAATCGATGCTTTAAACAATTTAAAATAGGTGAAACCTAATGTCAAGTAAATCAATTGCAAAGCGCGATCGGCGAAAAAATGAAAATGAAATAAGAAGGACTGAATTAAGTGAAATTGTATTTATATTTGAATATCCACAAAACAATCCTTAAAGGGAACTCCACTCCAAACAATCCTTAAATTTTGTTTGTTTCATTCAATATTTTCACAAAAATTGGTTGAAATGTTGCAGCTAGGGCATCCGGTGCGTGGGAGCGGAATATGTCAGCGGCTTGCATTTGACGTCATATCGTCAATTGCTGCTCAAAGTTCTATGTAAAGTCATTGCACAGTCTTAACAAACTTGCGTCAAAATGCTTCTCCTCATCACAAAATGTTTCGTCAGAATTTTTTATTCATAGGTATATACACAAGCAACTTTTATAGCTTACATGCAAGTATTGAGCTGGTTATTTGTATTCTGTTTTAATAGAACGATTTCACATCCATAAAAGCCATTATCGCACAGTTACCGCACTACATATAGAATTTGAATGTCGATTAATATTATTTTTTAAAAAATGCGAACGTTTATTTTTTGTGGAAACTGTGCTGTAATGCCGTTTGCTTCGTTTGCTTGTCCTCCGAATTCAACCTTAACTACAGTTTCTACTGATCACTAACCAGTCTATTGCCATGAATAACATTGAATAATAATAAAACATGGTTGCGTAATTTAGATTCATTATGGTTAGAAAATAACCCTACATAAAACCATTGTAAAATTCGCCTTTCGTGCATAGAATTTAGGTGTATTTTCCTTGACGTACAGTATAAACTTATAGTTTCCTAATTATTTGTACATAATTTCCCTTTTTTAAGTCACATTTGGGACAAAAATTGCCAGTGCTATGAAAAACAAACACCCTCATATTGATCACCAATATGATGTGTGGCATTTGTCTAAATCTGTCACAAAAACTAACAAAGTCTAACATTAAGGGAAATGATGACTTGACCCATTGGATTAAGTCCATTTCTAATCATCTTTGGTGGTGCTCTGCAAGTTGTAACAAGAATGCAGAAGAATTGGTGGAAAATTAGAAGTCTATCCTTAACCAATAACAAGCATTTCTGGAGAGGGAACACATATTTTCATCAATGCCACCAACAATTAACAGAAAGAGAAACAAACAGAAGAAGTGGTTATCTCCTACTTCACAAGCATATATTGCTGCAGAGAAGGTGATATGTGACAAGAGGCTTCCAAAAGACCTGTGGAAGCTATCTGAGTTTTGTCACACAGTAGAGTTGGAGGTTTACCATTCCCTTTTACTGAAATACTGCCCAAAGTGAGAGCATTTTTCATTTTCTGGAATGGTAGCCCGCACTCATTTAGCAGCATTAGATCACAACAACAATATTAACCGTGATAAAGCAGTCATGAAGTCAGGGACAAACAAAAGGCAAGACCGTTACAAAATGATTTTTGCTAAAACAAAGAAGCAATGGGTTGTAAAAGCAATGAAAGAAAAGAAGGAGTGCCAGTACATTGATAAACTACTTGCCGAGGTTGTGAATGCATGAAAAACTTAGGAGATTGAACTTGTACATCATGGCGAGAATCTTCTAAAGAACATTTCTAAATCATGTCCACCCAGGAAAGCAGTAGTTGTAAAGGAGCATCAGTCTAGATTTGCATAAAATGTCAGTGGTGATGCTAGGTTTTGCCATGCCCATATAATATGATGTTGAATCAGTCAAGACAACTTATGTACATTCATTCTTAAATATTAACATAGCAAAACCAACATAGTGGAAGCCTTCAAATTGAAATTCCTCTGCAGGGCCAGGTGGAGGAAATGTTTCTCTAATGCAAGTAACTGCACATGATGGCAAGACGACTCTTACTTCTTTACCCAAGATACCCCAGCACCATCTTGTCAACTGTCTATATGCAATATGGCGGTACAGTTTGTCTTTGGGCCCATCATATGCTACCTCATATTGCTGCTTGTACAGGTACCAAGCCGTTTGAAAAACCCACCTGTTAAGACATACCAGCTCAAAACCAGGATGTTGTGTAATGCACAAAAGGACTTCGGTGGTCTCATTCGTTTCTACTGCCTACATTTTTGTCACAAATATTGGAAATCTCTTTGCAGCATAAACATTCCTCGTTATTGTCCATTATTTGGTAGTTACCACATTGACACCTGAATATGTTAAAAGAAAGGATCTTGAAAAGTAAATGTCTAAATTTCAATAAAGATTGTATCTTACTATAAAAACTTAAAATCTGAAGTATGTGTGTGTGGACGTGGTCAACTTCAAAACTGAAAACGTTCTTTCGAGATCTAAACAATGGTCTAGAATAATATAACATTTTATTACTCACCATTCAAGATTGTCGCGCCGAGGTTCATCCTCAATATACACAAATTCCTGTTCTTTGTTGTCCTCAAACTGGTTAGCTTCTTTGTGTTCACCAGCCGGCCATTCGGGCTCAAACTGATATGGCCGAATATTGTTTGCTGGATTGCCTTCTATTTCATTATCGATTGGTAAATTAGCCCGAGGTTCTTCCAAAAAAGCCATTATAAGCGATTGTTTTGTTGTTGTTTTTTGTGCAAGGCTGTGCGTTATTATTTTACTTTGTTGTTAACACAACTCCAAATCGGTTTGACGATATGACGTCAAAATATTTTCCGCTGACGCTTTCTGTGCCCACTCTGCTAAACCTCAAAACAGCTCAAATAACGCACTTGAAGACGCGATTTTGTTAAAAATAAAATAGCTGATGTAAAAATTTCAAAATATAGTAACCTTTGCATAAAAATGGAACTTTTAAGACCAACATTATGTGAGGGTGGAGTTCCCCTTTAAGCTCATTTGTCTATCAATGTAAAAAGGCTTGTACGTGGGTTTAGTTGGTTTGTAGCAGATTGCATTATAGGCTCTTTTTGATGACTAGATTGTTCAACTGGTAATCTCTAATAGTTTAAACTATCTTCTTGCTAACTTAATTTACAGTCAATTCTGGACTTTATTTAATTTACAACATTTTCCTGCAATATTGTAGCTGATTATTTAGGCAGCTCGGTATATTATAGCGGAGTTTTATCAACAGAATTAAACACAAGCCCTCAAAGCATTACCATCAGACTTATTCTTTAAACTACTCAAGCATTTCATTGTGGCTTTGTTGAATAACTTTCTAAAGCACAAATCATATAAAAGATCTTTGTATGGTTTTTATTATTATGTAAATAAATAAAAACCATCAGTTTGGACATACGTGGCAATGTCATTTCTCTCTCAAAAAATCTTCAGTAAATGTCGAAGAATGGCTGAAGTTAAGATTGTCGTCTTAATAATCGTATGGTGGATTGCAAGCACTCTTACATTTGAGTTTTCCAAAGATGAAATTTCAATTACCGAGCAATCATTTGGCGACATAAAATGGCTCGACTTAACTTGCTTGCAATTAATTGTTGGTTGTTTAGGGTCAGCAATTTTATTATTTCTTCTTAAGCGAAGATTATTTGGTTTAAAGATCATTCAGAGTTATAACAGTTTGGTGGCTGTCGCTACTAATGTTATCGGCCATCTTTTAGTCAATGTTTCATATGCATTTGAAAGCTCAAGCGTGACTCAGGTAATCAAGTCTACTGAACTTTTATTTACATATATTTTTATTCTCTACCAGCAGCAAGTGGAAGATAAAAAAAAACAACGTGTAACGGCTTCAGTGTTTGTATCAATTATGCTTATGTCACTAGGAATGACTCTTTTGATGTCAAATACAGAGCGCAATGTTTACGGAATTGTAGCTGCAGTTGTGTCAAGTATTTTATTTCCACTTCGTAACATCGCTTTAAAAAGAGCACATGGGCAATTTTACGACGGGGCTATTGAGATGTACTTCAATTTATCATTCTATGGTGCTTCTGGCCTCTTACCGTTGGTAATTTTTAAGTTCTTCCTGCCATATAATGCCTTACACCTTTCTTTTAATAATATAACGTCGGGAACATTTCACGGATTGTACAACCTGGCTTCTATCTCAGTTCTCCAACATGTTACCCCATTAAATCACGCGCTCTTAAATTTTTGCAAACGTTTACTAGAATTTACATTCAGCATCAGGTATTTCAACGTTCTAACCTGGCAATTGGTGACCGGTTATGTTATTGTTTTTTTTGGTCTTGGAATATATCTTATTAATTATCAGAATGAAAATAAGCTTTTGAATGTTCGCGCATGTTTAATTGGAATGGCTAAAGTTGTCTTTTATTTGCTCCCATTAACACTTTTGTGGACTGCAGTTTTTCAAAATATTGTGTATGTTGAACACAGTGAGAGCTTTGCTCATCAACTCTCTAATACCAGGTCTGTAAGTGGTAACGTTACTACTGCTTGGCTTTTCAATAAAAAAGGTTTTCATTCGTTCGTTAGTAGTGTAGAAAATCTTCACAAGCAAACCAAGATACCCGTAAATGTGTATTGTGGGACTATGGCATGTGTGAATGCCGTAGAACGTCTAAAACACCCTTTGATTTCAGCTAAATTTCTTATCGTACCAGATGTATTGGACGAGACCCCTTTAGAAAAATGGGGTGGACGTCATATTTTGTATAAGATATTGACTGGAGTTCATTTTGAATGGTACTTAACTCAGGCTCTTTGTCTTGGGCATTTGTGGCGATACGGTGGAACATTTTACTTTCCCTATTATAGAGAGTACAGTGAGAAACAAAAGGTCATAGATGACATATTTCCCTGTATTTTGCTTGAAAAAAATGTTAAAAGCTTTCATTCGAACATCAAAAAAGGATTGCCGGAAGGGGCTAACATAGTCATGGAAAAAATCAAGAAGTTTGTTTTTACAATGAGACAATGGAATCCAGCAAATTTACCTTCATCGTTTAAAGGAAATGTATGGAATGCTTACTCGAGACACTGTAATCTTTATAAACGCTGGTGTTTAATTCGGAATCCAAAAAGCCTGAAAGATCTTTACCACGAGAAAGGAATGTCTATTAGTGATAAGGACCAGCATTTCGGAATACTTTCCCTAGACAGTCTTGTTGGTTTTCGTAATCATGGGAATATTGGTGATGAAATGCAGACACTTTCCGGCATTCAGTTTTTTCCGTTTCTCGACTTTTTCTACGATAGAGATATGCCAATTGCGCCCAATGTCGATGGCGAGTTTTGTCTTTTCAATGCTTGGTGGGGTAGACGAAGTCGTAAATGGCCACCACCTTCAAATATCAATTCCATTATGTTATCAGTTCATGTTAACTCTGCATTTCAAAATGTCATTGCACAAAATCCTGATATGATTGCTTTTCTAAAATCAAAACAGCCTATAGGTGCTCGTGATACGAAGACTAAAAAATTTCTGGAAACATTAGGAGTTCGATCCTTTTTCTCTGGATGCATGACAATCTTTCTTAAACGTCCAATAGCATTAAGTAAACGAAATGAAATAATTTATATTGTTGATGTAAAACAGGAAGGCTATAATGTGCTACCAAAATGGGTTAAGCAGAGCGCAAAATTCGTAAGCCATAATGTTGATTTTGGGCGAAATGAAACTTTGATGACAAAAAGACGTCATTTGCATGCTTATCGATTGCTTGAAAAATACTCAAATGCTAAAATTGTGATCACGCAGAGAATTCACGTGGCACTACCATGCGTTGCTTTGGGCACGCCTGTAATCTTTTTTGATGGAAATAGAATGCCTGGAGGTGGAGGAAAAGGCAACAAAAGTTCGGATAGGTTAGCTGGTCTTACTGAAATGTTCCATTTAATTGATCTTCACAAATTGACCCAAAAAGAAGCAAAAGAAAAACTTACACAGTTTAACTGGTCTATCCCACCCAGAAATCCAAATCTTGGCACTCGTATGAGACTGATTTCATCAATGTGGAATGTAATTCGCCGGAAGAACGTTTTTTATGAAAGTGCACTTCGTTTTGGCATGATACCACTTACACCCAAATGGTTGATAAATGTCAGCAATCGTATTTTTATCTTCCATATAATTCTGGATAACGAATTATACTATTCACATAGAGATCATCGTGGATTACAATGGTATCAACAAGGTTGCATTGAGTCTATTTTACGTAATCATCCTTCTGCACATTTATATGTGCACAGCAATACAGTAGATCAGACATCGTTTGACTTTCTCCATGAAGTTGGCTATCAAATTTATGTAAAAAAATACTCAGTTGCTAGCTTGATAAAGAACACACCGTTGAGTAACATCCAGCATCCAGCTTTTTTAGAGGACAGTGATGGAAAAATTCTGAGAAAATATGGAATGTTAAGTTTATTACTTTTGTATCAATACGGTGGAGGATACTTAAATGATGATACAATCCTTTTAAAACCTTTAAATTTTTCATTTGGAGCCAATTTGAACTTGATTGTTGTTGATGAAAAATCAAAAGTATTTTCTTCGATTGTTTTCTTTGAAAAGGGTCACGAATTTCTTCATGAAGTCCTGGAAAAATTCTCTTTGGATTACAGCGCAACAATGAACCTTCGAGAAGTGAATCTTATGTCAAAGGTTTGTGCATTGTTAATAATTGTCGTTATCGCCTCTTTTTTGTTAGTTTTCCGATTTGCAATATCTTCAATCGAATAAATGTACCGTAACTGCGTAAAAGCACTATTGATACTGCGCATTTGATAAAAACGACAAGTTTTTTTTTTAAATAAACATGTTTCAACATCTCATGATGCCAACTTCAGTATAATATGGAGTATTATGTATGTGGTAAATATATATAATAATTATATGATTCTGTGATACAATCTATACACTTATCAATAGATTATTCTATTACAATGAAATAGTGGTTAAAATTAATGATGAAAATATTTGCAGGCTGATTATAGCCTATGAAAATGTTAGCAAGTATATGTGCTAGGGGAGAACCCATCGCAACACCATCGGTCTGGTTATAAAATTTTCCATTAAGTAAAAAATGTGCCTGTGCCTAAACTAAACTAACTATTGACCCTCTTGCTTTAAAATCATCGACACTGCAGATACCACATTCGCACTCTAAATCAAAGAAGCACTTCACATCAACAAAACTAACACTAATCCTAAAGTTAAAGTTTTTCGTTTTAACATTATAATCAGCCTGCAAATATTTTCATCATTAATTCTAACCACTATTTCATCATAATATAATAATCTATTCATAAATGCATAAATGGTATCACAGTATGATATTATTATTATTATTATTGTATATTCATCACATACAAAATACTCCTTATAATACTGAATATGGCGTCATGAGATGTTGAAACATGTTTATTTTAAAAAAAACTTCTCGTTTTTATTAAATGCGCAATACTTATAAATTTAATTCAAACATTTGCATTCGTAACTATGAGTTAGCCCAATGGAAAACGAATTCTTGATTTAAATATAATTACATGTTTGTACATGTAGATCGTGCAGGTTAGTAGAGTTCTGAGAAGGACTGTTTTTGTTGTTGTTGATTGACGTCTCGACAACCTTAGCGGTAGTCATCTTTAGAATCAAAGACGGTAATGCTGGTCATGCTCAGCACGACTAAAAATTTCCAAAAAATTTTTTCCATAGTTTTATTTTCATTGTACATTCTGACAAGTAATAATTTCTTATAGATTACTTTATTAACATAATATGACTATTTGGGACGAAGGTCAACCATTGTATTGCGTTTTATTCCACTACGTTTTCACACTAGAACTTATTCTACCCTTATAACAGTGACTTGGTATTGCTCTGAAAAATCTCCATGACCAAATAATATATTTTATGGTAAAATTATCCGTAATTTGATTGGATAAAATCATCTCAGCATGCTCAAACGCGATGTCTAACGTCATTAGGTCATGCTGATTTTAAAAGGCATGACCAACTTAATCCCGCAAGTAATCTTATTTGTCTGCGAGACTCGTGTTTGTAGTTCGTGCACTTTGGAAACATGCACGAACTATATAATTGCATTATTTATTTTACTTTCTCTGCTGCCAAAGGAGATATCATCGGTTCTTTGCCATGAAAGCTTTCTTTGCTTGATAATCTGGCCAGCACAATATTATTGTAAAGCGAATGGCAAATGGCGAAGTTTTAAACAACATCATGTGTAAACAGCCAACAATTACATGGAACACCAATGGGCTCACCCGTTTCTATTGGAGTTGCTGCAATTGTAATGCAATCTATAGAGGAACGGGCTCTCACGACTTACAAACATGCACTATCTTTTTGGTTCCGCTACGTAGATGACACAATCACAGCACAGCATGCAGACGAGATTGATGACTTTCACACTCACATCAACAAACATAACAGCCACATACAATTTACCAAAGATGTCGAAGAAAACGGAACTCTTCCTTTTCTCGACTGTTTGGTGAAACAAGACAATCAAAAACTACGAACAACAGTTATCGCAAACCAACACACACTGACCGACTACTACAACAATCATCTTACAACTCTACATCACACAAAGCCACCACAATCTGAACATTAACAAGACATGCACAAATCATATGTGATTCACCGAACGCTCTACACAACAAAAAAAAGTATCTCAAACGTGTTTTTGACAAAAATAACTATAACTCCCACTTTATCAAACGCAACACTTACAAACCCAACGAACCCAACGAAACGAAAAACTCAGTGACAACAGCAACGACATCTGACATCAAGGGTACCTCTATTTTATAACATACCATAGTTGCTTTTTTATATTCTTGTAGGAATAGACAGTTATATAATATTTTTAATGTATTTGTAATCAAGTATTTACTGGCATATTTATTTATTATCGTAAAATAGATTTCGGTTTTTCTCATTATTGCATTTTGCTGGTAATTTTACGATAACTCTATGTTTTCAATAAACTGTTCTTTGTATACTTGTTCACTGCCTCGAAATACAACTCGTAATTAGGAGTAATTCTTTTGGAGTTAGCATGACTCTAAGTGTTTAGTGTTAAAATAACTCTATAAAGGAACTGTAGAAATATCTCCTTTATAGTTATTTTAATTCCACTTTTGGAGTTACGCTTACCCCAAAAGTGGAGCTATAATTTTGGAGTAAAATTTAACTCAAAAAAAGTAGTCATTCTGTACCTTTTTATTTAACTCCACTTTTGAAGTTAAATCAACTCCTTGAATTTAACATGTGGTATTTCATGTTTATTTACTTTTCGCAAAGGTCTCTAGAGAAAATGAATTGATATCTGGAATAAAATTTTCCACAAAAATAATTAAAACTTTCAGTGAAAATATGTTAATAAATTTTGGCAACTGATCCGCTGAATAATATTTGCTTCTGGCTCTTTTATGGTGTTCCCATATGTTTTCTTTTGATCAGTTATTCGCAAATGTCCTTCTACAGACTTCAAGCATTTTTCTAAGATTTTCAATACACCTAACTAATGAAGGTCTAGAATTTTCTTTTCATCTCAAGTACTGCATTCTTCTTTGGAGGGATCACTATTACTTACACGCATCTCAGTGTTATCCTCTGCCACAACAGCAAAGAAAACCGGAACAAACATTTGTACGATGCTCAGTTTCATCAATGGGAAAAATTTGAAAGCAAAATGGAATTCAACTTTTGGAAATTTCGGGCAAAGACAGTGGCCTGACGAAGGCAATTGTTTAAGGAAGTAGATGGCCCTTTGTGTCTAAAACATTCGTTAAAAATGCTGATGGTTTCAATATGGTTTCAATCACCTTTATGAACTTCATGTTCTGACGTCTCACCTCTACTGCTAAGTTTTTCAACTAAGTTTTTCAACTAAATTTTTCAACCGCTAAAGTTTTAGCAACTCTACTGCTAAGGTCGCAACAGCAAAAATGATCTAATTTAAGCACATTTAGCTTGGCCAGAATAGCAAAAACGTCCAAATCTTAACCATGTCTAGACACAGCGGGCATCTCAAAAGCCCGCGCCTGTAGGTTTAAGACTAGTTAGCCCTCGGGATAATCTTCCATTGTGTGTGACAATCATCAGGAATTTCTTCGTCTGACCTCTCATCATTATTATCTTGCAAGTCATTATCTGTTGAATAGATGCCTGAGTCATCTTGAGCAAGAAAGGGTTTTAAATCGGCATTTTTTTCAATCGAAGGAACACGGAGCAGCTTTATCAGTGCAATAACCAAAAACAGGGACCTCCTTACACCTGCAGAAGTGGAAAGGCTTTGGAGGATCAGTTCCAGGAACAATTTTCACCTCTGAACCATCTTTAAGACCAACATATATTCAACTTTTGACTTAAAATCTTGATTGAACGTAGATTTGCTTCAAGGTTGCTCCCTTCATTATTTGGTCGAAAGTAGCTGACGCAAAAATTTTTAGAGAGAGTGCATTTCCTCTTTTTGCCTTGTTGTTCTCCATAATTGCAATGGTAATTTTAACTTTAATGTCCCCAAGCTTCGAACGTTTTTGTCTTTTCTTTCGCACAAAAAAAAGAGTTCCTTCTTTTTGTTTTACGTTTCACCTGTTGTATCTACAATTTGGCTGCAGTGTGGGCAATATCTAAACGTTGTATTGAGACGTGTTCTTTGCACATGACAGAACTTGTTCCTTTGCGTAGATGCCATGTTTTTGAGTTGATAAATTAACATAATATACTCATTATTTAAATAAATAGCTGTTCACTAAATAAATCGCAGTTCATTATATAAATCTCTGTTTGCTAAAAATCTCTGCTCACTTTTAGCTAAAGTAATTTCTAATTTCGCCTAATAAATCCCATTCTTTAATAAATCACTATTTTCTTTAATATCTCTTTTGCATTTGTCGGTCACCGTAAACATTACATAAATCATCTCCAGAAAACTTTATAATGTTCTCATTTAATAATTACGCAAAACTTTTAAAATTAAAATAACCAAATTTACCTAACTTGAGAATTTCTCGTAAAGAATGACTCGTCAATAACCAGTTTTAAGCTTAAAGTTTTTCCCGGTTTCAATGCCTAGAAATCCTTTAAGGCCTCACCGAATCCCTGTTATCCGAGCTCGTCTAAACAGTCACTAAAGCGGCATCGATATAAAAAGAGTCTGTCTCCGACGTTTATTCACGGTGAAGGGATAAACTGTAAAAATGATTGGTTAAAATAACCATATGATTGGTTACAGTAACCATAAAAATATTTGTTAAAGTGGTTAAATGCGTCTGAGGTAACCAATTTTAATGGTTATTTTAACCAATCAGTTTTTACAGTGTAATATGGAATTAGCAGTGTCAGAAAAGACATCCTTTTTAAAAGCGGCAAATTTGTCCGACTAACTGGTCTCCGTTCTTTCGGTTCCATAGTTCTTGTGTGAACGCAAGATCAAAAAGGATAGATTTCAGACCGCTTCCAAATCCGTACAGTGGCGTGTAAGCGTTGTCTTGAGCAATAAAGTTGCACCGTAAACGAAGAATTTAGTCGTAAAACCAGCACAAAACTCGCAACACCAACAGGAACAACAATGAAAATCCAAGTATTATAGTGTGGAAATATATTGTCTTTTAATTAAAAACGAAAATTGAAAACATATAGTATTTCTTATCATCATACAAGTACTGAAATTTATGCGCAACAAAACGGTGAAATAAAAATCATGGGCTTAAAATTTCCAAGCACCTGAAATAATATATCATTTTCTTCACTCGTGACAAAATGCATATCAAGTTTTACCGCTAATTGTGGACAGCATTAAAATCAAAACAAAAACAACCAGTTTAGATTGTACCTATATCAATGGCTTCGAGATTTGCGGAGACATTGCCTGTCAAAGAGTTTATTAAATGTCTGGAAGATATTAACAGAAGAAAAAAACGTTGCAGGATACACGACATTTTGAAGAATATTTAACTTCGAAAAATGAGTGCCAAAAAAAGCGAGGACATTTCCGTCGAAAAATTGAACGAATACTTAAGCGAATTTATCATTTCTGTTAGAAAGAAAGAGGACAACAGTGAATATGAACCAACTTCCATACGTTATATTTTTGTTACATTTGAGAGATACTTTAAGAAAAAGAACGGGTTTAGTATTATGATGGACAGGGATTTTGAGCTTGCCCAAAAAGCTCTGCTATCAAAGCAAAAAGACCCAAAAAAAAGGGAAAAGGAAACAAACCAAATGCTTCGGTTACTCTTGGTGAAGATGAAGTCAAACTGTTTTACAAAAAAGAACTTTTAGGAATTTCAAGCTGTCTGGACAACAGCATTCATGTCAGTATATGAATTTGTAAAAGACTTCCTAAATTTCCGTGGTGGTTCTGATTGTAGTTTCTATCACGCTTCACCAAATTGTATGAAACCACTGATTTATATTAAGACTGGAGTGAGCATGTCATTGAAATTTCTATAAATTATTAGTGCGCGGCCTGCGTTAAGAAAGCGGATTTTGGTGGTCAAAGTCAACGGAAAGACGTGGGCTCACGAAACAAAAATTTTTTCGACCACCAGGTTATAACCCTTACCATGCCACTATAGCAAATATCAACACTATTTATAATCCAAACACAAACACTTTTTAAAGTTTTATTTTTTAAACAATGTGCATACTTCTGTGTTTTGCGGATGCCGAAATAGCAACAGAAAAGGATAAATTCATGACTCTAGTAAGTAGCATAGTATTGTTTATCATTTAAAGTGTCCAGTAGTTTTTTTAACACGATACTTGAAGAATGTCGTGAGTGCATTTCACGTGTTTTAATAGCAATCAGTAGTTGTTAACTCATTCATACATCACTTTCATCATACATTATGTTTGGATACATGGTAAGTTAAAGGGATTTCGGAACAATCATCTTTCGTCTCTCATTTTTGCAGCCTATGCACTAGAATGCTTGTAAAGCACGGTGTTCGTTGCTGCTTTTGTCTCATTTTCACGGCTTTGCCTGCTTCCTTCAAAGGATATCATGAAGCCTGTGAAGCTGAAAGACGATGTTGACTTTGCCATTCTTTTTCTTGATTGGAAGATGAATATCAGGTTCTTATTGAAACATTGCTTCCATATTCTTTGCTTTCAGTTTCTGAATAATCATGCTTACATGCATGACAAAATTTTAATGCAAAAAAATGTTGCGAAATAAAAACAACATATTTGGGTTCTGTTCTCGTATTTTAACAGCCAAAAGCAATTTATAAGAGTACAACTATAGCAAAATACCTTATAGTTATGTTTGGCTAAGGCTTCCTTTACAAAAATTTAATGCTCGAAAAATTGTGTATGCAGTATGCTTGATAATAAGTTTCATTTAAAAGTCTTTGCTTACCAAATAAAAACAAGAAAGGTTTTTTGTTTTGTTTACGGAGATTCCTAGTTCGTACAAGTTATTTTTTCCTTCACGTCAATTACCGTGTGTTTACTTTGCTTGGAAAGACTGGTCGCTACAGGTGTCAAAGTATCGACTGACGTAGCCTTCCTTTTATTCACTTAAATGGGTCTAATTGAATTTTAATGGTTCGATGTATATTTATAAGAAATTTGTCAACATAGAATAAATAATCAATGTTATCATTTTTTTTCATTCTTGTAAATGGAATAGCAATTTCGTACTTTAAATACTTGCCATCCAGGTGTATGTGTTTAATTATTTTAATGCAATACTATGGTCAACATTTACCTTTATGTCGCCAATTTATAAAACTGCTTCCTCTGTATGCACTAAGTGTGCATGAAGTCTTACAATAGCTGAATTTACACAAGAGCATTCCCTTTGCCCGTCTTTGCTATTCCCACATTTCATTAAAGATGAACAAGAGTTATAAATGTCAGAGAGTGTTTACTCAAAAGGTTTCCGTTCTTCTAGCGACTTAACCTTTCCCCAATCACTTAAAAATGCAATTTCATGTGATGAACGATTGACTGACTCAAGCGAAATAACCCTTGCAGTATAGTATGACATACCACTACAAAATTTGGAGGATATTATCACTGATGTTTGTCAGTAGCTGGGATTTTTCCAAAGGCCGTTTTTCATTATGGAAGACTATTCTAGTCAATGCATTCTGACATTTCTTACTATTAATCATCTTTAATTTAATGTTGGTGCCAGCAAGGATGTCGATAGCTCGTGTAAAATTAAGTTTTCGAGCTAATAGAACTTTGCGCATGCAAGAACAGTGGCGTAGGAACAGTCTAAAGATTGTGGAAACACCAGCTCCTTGGAAAACTTTGTTTAAGAAAACAGCAGCTAAAAATATGCAAAGAGACTGTTTGATTACAAAGGGTGCAAAGATACCTCAATTGTACTTTGTATTTATGCTCTTAAAAAAATTCCAATTAGTAAAGTCTAGCACGTCATTGTCCGCGTTCTTATGTCAGTCAGATGTAATTCTTATAAATGATAGAGTTATGCCCAGCTTAAGTTTGAAATTAGAATCAAGATGTTATTGATAAATAAGTATACCCACAAAGAAAACGACACGTTATGCAACCTCCTAGTTGTCATAATTTATTCACAATTTATAAAATCGAAAACATAATCTTAATTGAAGCAACAGAAATTGTTTCGATTAAAACACAATTCAAAATACATGTCTTCTTCATAATTTAATCATAAATGATAAAAATTTACTTCATGAGACCACCATATACAGTCTGGCTAACCCATTACTTCTACAGTTATAGTATTAAGCGTTGATAATAATTGAACTGAATAAAATAAATCTTCATTCAGTTCCTTAAAAGTATCAATTTACTAAGATTGACCTTTCAAAAGATGCGGCACTCATTGCAAATCTCCCTTATTTCTACATTTGATAATTTTCTGCGTTTGAATTATGTTCCGATATAATGACAGTAATATGTAATCATCTATAAATAGATATAAATCTATATTATATACATACATTTATATCTTACTAAAAGCTGATTAAAGCTCACATCGCCTTTCAGCAATAAAAATCAAAAGTAAAACTCCAAAGATTTTGATATTCCGTTTGCAACAACCGCAATGTACAATAAACTTTTTTTCGTTTATTTACACTTTTCTCGATCCAATCAATACTATAATTATTATTATGTAGCAGTAATCCCAAGTTACAAAATTGAATTAAAGTGCTGAGCATATTTATATTTGCTTTTAAAAGAACAGCTATTCCCTTTAAGAGTAAGTTTGACATTATTTAACAATAACACATGTTTAAACGCTGATGTGATGCTAAATATCACCTCTATAAAAGTCATCAAAACAAAAACAAACACACACCATACTGAATATCACAAGAATTAAGTTCTGCATTAAAGATATAGCTGTATCCTCCTAATAAATATATCTTTCAAGGTAAATGTGATTTTAAAAATTGAAAAGCTCTTCTCTACATTGAAAGTTTCAGTTCGTTTGGCATAATTTTTAATGTATGAATTGTTAGAACATAAGCTTATTTCATCTTAAGGCTAATAGTCAACTCAATTGTATGACAATTCATAAATAGCATTAACTGTACGTTGCTGGTCATAGATACCATAAAATTCAGATCTCCACCCCCTCCAATAACTTTTAAAGCCTGTGGTGGTCAAGCTATGTGAAGAATCTTAATAATTATCCATTAGAGGAAGGAAATTAAATGCATGCTGTTTGATCATTTTCACTAAAGTGGATGTTTTAATCAGATTCATGTCATATAACGCTCTCATAAGGTAAAATTAGTTTTGCAGTGGAAAAACTTTGTAAAGTTCCTTATTGCTCACAGTGGCAAACTTTGATGGCTGATATAGCTTATAATTTTTTAAGTAAACACTTGCACAATAAAAATTCCAGCATCACCCAGTGTTAACTAAACACAACTAATGATCACATCACAGAAAAACCATTCAATCATTACTGATTGATATCAAATTTGCCAAAAAAAAGTTGGGGAACAAATAGGACAGGTTATCAACAATTCTTAATATCTATTTTGAGCTAACTCTCCTTTGAAGCGAAAGCATTTGAAAAGTGCTTCAAAGTGCTTTAAAAAAGTCCTTTAATCTCAAGGACATTTGTGACAAATGGTGCCATCATTGCTGCTGGCACCAATAAAAACTTTTTTTAATGTAAATGATTTAGCATCATAGTTTTTCCACCCTAAATTCATCAAACATGAATTGTTCAAAATACACAGCTCATGCCGTTACTTCTTTGTAACAGATAAATTTAACGGATGAGCTTGTTTTAAATACGCAAATAATTATTGTCTTTTTACCATTTGAAACTTAACTTAGAGTACAAATTTGCTATGAGAAATTTGACTAAATTTCGAAAACATATAAGGCCTTGTAAATTATGTTTAATTTGTCTTATTTAAAACATATGTCACCACTATGTGTCTTTACGTTGAAAATAATAAAAATATCGAGGAATAAAGATTATTACTGATAAGAAAAATCTTTCAATTTTTTGGAAGCAGATATATAGCCCAATTCAACATTATATGACCTTTTTGTTGTTAAGGTTTGGTACGAGTGGCAAAGGAAATCGAAGACAAGAAATGCTGTTACAGTGAAAAATAAGAATTACTTTCGTTTATTAACGGCCGAACTATTAAATAGTGAACAAAATCTTTATGAAGTGATCGAAGAAACGACTGCTGTTATAAGAATAGCATATCATGATGAATGTGTGGAGAAATGGAACAAAGGTGAAGTGGTGTTGAGAAAAAATTCTTTATGTAAAAGTATTTATAAAGAGCACTGTTTGACATTCAGTCAACTGTTGTAGAACATTGTACACAACTGGTACACATGTTGAGTAGATCATGTCTTACTTATTTTTCAATAGTGTAGTAAGTGTACGTCATAAAATGTGTAACAGTATGTAAGGAACAAGAACGTATCTTTAGCATTGTAAGTTCAATGTAATTAAAGGATTTTTGAAAGCGTGTGAAAAAGAGCCCATATGTGAAGATCCTATGGAAGGGTCTGAGACAAAACTTACATATCTTAAATAATTTAAAATACACTTTTTGCTACAAGTTTGAGCATTAGAAAACAAATGCAGACTTAATAAAGTGCTAGTTTATTGCACGTTTTCTCTTCTTGCGCATATTTGAAAGCTTTCTTAACAAAACTGTGTAATGTGCTCCGTCTACATCGTATTCGATCACTGTAAAAATACGAGATGCCTAAAAGAATAACTTATGAAGTTTTGGTTCTTTTGAAGTTCACACGGCAGGGCCATAACATCTGAACTGGCCACGCAACAGTCTACGTTTCATCTAGAAATCCATCAACTTTTGCTTAGCTAGTACTTGTATGTTTAGGAAATCCTTTGAAAGTATGGTATCAGTAATCATATATAAAATAGTTTCTGAAACAGCTGGATAAAATACAATACTTGGAATGACATATACATTGCTTTCTGTACATTAAACCAGAGCATGTTCAATTGGCTTGTCAATGAATTAGTCTGGTCTTTAAATAATCAATGATTTGGTGTGGTCTTTGACCTTTATAATTTGGAAAAACATGCAGAAGTTTTGTCACTATTCAACTCGTTAATTTTTTAAGCTAGATGAGAGATTGGAACCCATATAAAGGTCCAGTACAGACAGTAACATTTGCAGAAAACTAAAGCATTCTCCAACAACGGAATTCTTTATATTGGACAAAATAATTTACTTTCCAACAAATTCCTCCCCAAAAAGAAGCCTAAACCATTCTGCATTAGAATTCACTTTACCTATAACCACATATTTACATGCAATAAAGAAATCAACAACTTCACATTAGATGGATAGATTAATAAATAGCTACTGCATATTAACAAATATTTTAAGTCCACAATTTTCTAGCAAAACCTTCGTAATCTGTCTTCATTAAACTTTTGTGCGTGGATCACGTTGCAAAATTTGTACTACCTAAGCAAACTTTTATGTCTACAGTTCTTTAAAACAAAACCTTGCACAACTATGGATAACAGTGATTCAACCGCAAGCACAGTTTAAATCAAAATAAATTATGGCAGTTCAATTGTAAATTGAAAATAATTTTTAGTTTTAGAATCAACTTATTATTGATGAATTTCTACAGAATATATATAGTTTACCAGTTAACTCGCCTGTATACGATTTCGAAATGTAAATATAACCAAAAACGAGTTGCAGTGATTTATTTTGAGTTACCTTTTATCTGCCAAAGCATTGATTTTTATCGGGACCTATGTATGTATGGCAACGGGTTTTCCTGGCCAAGAATATGTAACCGAAATGTCGAGTAAGCAAATTTTGAACTCCAGAAACGCATGTCTGAAAGTCAAAAGGCGTGTAGTACATGAAAAATTACACTTTACGCAAACTTGTTAGTAAAATACGTTTTTATCGAAGTCTTTCCTTCATTTTGCTAAAAGAAAGAATAATCGTAGAAAGATATTGCGAAGTTAAAAGTGATGGGGCTCATCTTTATTCATTTGTTTATGATGGTTCCTGTAATGTATGCATGCTAATGGTCTTCAAGATGGGATATGTGCATGGTTAGTTAGATTATGTAAGTATAAAATAAATAAGGGGAATAAGCTAATTTGACAGATAATAATATATGTGTCAGAAGTAAAATGGAAGTTCTTACAAAACCTCCGGGAGAAATAGACAACTGAAGAGTCCTCGTTGTCCGAAAGATTGAAAACATAGAAAGAAACGTACATAATTGGTCAAGACCAAAGAGACATAGATAACACAATGAGACTCTCCGAACAGCGAAAGGAAAATATTGCTTTGCTATTCACAAAATTCGACAAAGATTGTTAACCAAGAAAAAACCCAATTATGGAAAAATACAACATCAACTCTCGGTTGCAAAGAGACGACAAAAGTATGTAATGGAGCTTCAACTGCTAGCATAGAACTGTAATTATAATTACCTCGAGGACAAAAATTGCGGACGAACTAGTTATGGATGGAGTAAATAAAATCAGGAAGTCTTAGGCCTGCGTTAGACGACATATTTCAATGGGACGTATTAATTTTAAATTAAATTCTTGAAAAAAGTGACGGAAAATTCTACAACGAATTTTTTTACGAATTCCATATGAGAAAATTGTTTGCGGCCTGGGGCACAAAACGAGGAAAATGAAATGGTGCTAGTTAGAAATGAATCGCAAACCTACAAACTAAGTCCCTAATTGAGTAAAGTTTTGAGTCAATTATAAAAATTCCAGCAACACTTCAAAGGATTAATTCTAAATTAGCCTAATTTTCTCTTTTTTCTTGGCTCTGTTTACACAAGTGGAACGCCGTCGATTTTATTTTTTGTTTTTTTTTTGTCAGATAAAAGGTTTCTCAGCTTAGTTCATTGAAATGTATTTGCGATAGTATATTAAAGTCGTGGACGTATTATTAAAATGAAACGTGTAGGTAAAATTATGAACATTTTTTTACAATTTCAAATTTTAGGGGCATCAAAACGCTACAGCAACTTTATAGCTCACCATAATATTTACCAGAAAACATACAAATACAATTCATTGAGTTATTTGAAAAGAGGAGATAAATGGAATAGAAATATTTGGATAGCCAACACTTCTCTGTTTTCTCACTGCAGTAATAAATTGAAAATATTTAACAGCACATATGCTTAACTTCCGGAAAATTAAAAGCAATGACAAAATGATATGTTGGTCCGATGTGACCTAACGCGTTGTATGTTACAGATGTTAAGATTTGAGGGCGACGGGTAAAATGTTCGTGTAAGAGGTCTGAAACTACTTTTTTTGACGTCGTCTTCGCGGAACTTTAAAATTTTCAAACATTTATCACGACGGCATTGTATTGCTTTAAAACCCACTAATACCATGATTGAATTCAAAAAAGCAAGACATTGCTTCATAAACTCATATTTCCTTGACGTAAATGGCGAAGAAGAGTTTGTGTTGGTTTACGATGCCATTTTTTCTGAAAATCCCGAATTTTCTTACAAATTGTTCAAAAGATTTAATATTAACAAGATAAACAACGTTGAGATTGAATCCAAGTTTCGTTTTCGCAACGATGACATACAAACATTTGCCAAGGTATTAATTATACCAAAATCTTTTGTGAGTCGCAGGGCACGAAGATATACAGTATTGGAAGTTTATGATGTATTCTGAAAAGATTTGTTTATCCCTGCTGCAAATGAGATATGATTCTACACCTTAGATAAGCTTTACCAGAATCAATTACTAGTTCTTACTTAATAATTGATTACATCCACAATGAACATGCCTATGAAATGGAATGAAATGCTGCTTCATCGCCACAATCTTGAAACATATGCCAATGCAATTAATTTCAAAGGAGAAGCTCTTGATAACTTCATTGGCTTTGTTGATGGAGCTGTACAACCCTTCAGCCGATCTAGAGAGAACTAACAAACAGTTTATGACATAAACGTGCATATGCTTTAAAATTCAGCCTATTGCTTTCTCAAATGGAATTATAGGGCATTTATATGGTCCAGATGGTTAGTCATCAGATTTTTCAATCCTTTCTATGTCTTCAGATGTAGTAGAATTAAAATTTTAATTTCAATTTTTGCTGAAGGAAAAATGACGCCAGTATGTTACAAAACTTTCAGGATTATTGCATGATCAACAGCAAAAATGTTTTACAAATGATGGTAAATCTCTTTATCTTTATGGAGATCCATCATATCCCTTGCGAGTTCGTCTTCAGGCTTTCTTCAGAAATGGTTTTATTCTTGCACAGCCCATGAAAGATTTTAATACATCCATGTGTAGAGTTCGTTTGTCTGTGGAATGGCTGTTTGATGATACTATCAATTACTTTTAGTTTATGACTTCAAAAAATAATTTAAAAATTGGGCTAATTTGTATTGGCAAGATTTACATTGTTTATTTACTGTTAGGTAATGCATTTACATGCTTGTATAAAAATTAAACTTCATGTATCTTTTGCTTAATCCCCCAAACCATTCAGAAATATTTTGGTTAATCTATGGACATAGAACTCAGACATTTTGATACTTTTCAATTTTTTTTATATGGCTTTTGATACACAGGATATAGAGTTTTATTTTAACTAAAGATTTTTGATGATGTTTCAAATCAACTAGAACATTGTAAAGTTCATAAACACAATATTAACTAACTATAGAGTACATTCACATATTGATACAATGTCAAATTATGTTAACATTTTGGATCTTACTTTCTTTGGTTCACAGAGATACAAGGGCAAGAATCAAGTCACTCTACTGCTTAATTTTGTTGCTTTTGCATTTGCTGTTGTGAAAGCCTTATTTTCATTAATTTTGGTTTAATTCGCTTTTATTCGAACTCTTCCTCACATCATTCATTTATAGCTTCATTTTTGTCTAACAAATAGTTCACCTTTTCATTACCACATATTCTTTTGCTTGTTTGTCGAAGTGTTTCTATTGCTTTCAAACGAATGGTCTTTGCATCAGCCCGATCTCTATTCTTCCTATCCATTTTTCATTGCTTATTTATTTTTGCTCTTGGTCAGAAGTATCTTTACTCTAATTATTTTCTTGCTATACTTTTGGACTTTACTCAAATCGCGTACTATCCCAGATGCAGATTCTTCCTTTCGTATGTTGATTCGAAGTTGTTTAGCAAGTAGATCATAACGGTCTCAGGTAGATTTTTGGGATACTTTGAAATAAATATCTGGAAACTAGCTCACATTTTGCTCCCTGTTGCTCTGTTTGTTGCTTCGTTCCAGCGAAAGGATAAAAACTAATAATTTCTCTACTAAGCAGCTTATTGTGCTTTCTTGTCCATAACATCGGCTTTCTAAAATTTAGAAATAATATATTCTCTTTAAGCAGGCTATGGTCGAATAATCATGCAAAATTGACAACAGAAAGCATATTTACGGCTTACAATTCATTGCTAAACGTCACGTTGACGAGAGAACGTGAAAACACAGAGAATGGCGTTGTAAACCTATGCAGCACGGCAATCATTCCACACCGTGATGAATAGTGCATGCTCATTTCCTGTTTAAGTATTTTCCGTCGTTGTCGTTTTGACGCC